ATCTTTCAAAAGTGTTAGCTGTGACAAGGAATCCCAAAGTTCATGGGATGAGATTTTAATCTTCAAAATATTAGCAGTGACAGTTTTACTCTGAAATGTTGAGGCTTGTACCTTTTCCACATTTCATAGCTATCAATTTAATTATATAATAATATAATTTGACTGTTGGTTTCTAGAAGAGTGAATCCTGAATAAAAAGAAACTAAGACCTTGGGTTGTTAATTTTCATGTTAAGACCATAGTGTCCTTCAGCTGCTCTTCTTACTTCTTCTGAAATTGAGGTTTCTTACAACTTATTCTTTCTCTGCTATTTTTTCCTTTTATTTTCACTCTAAGGAATCATTACCCTTCCATGTTATACCTTGAAAGTATCAATTTCAGAGTAAAGTAATGCCTTATGTAACTGGCATTTCTAAGGAATAGCATTTCATAAAATAACTTTCCCGGAGATTTAAAGTGGGCTATTATAAATTCCAAAATAACCTTATTTTAAATTTATCCATTTTAGCAATTCATTTCAATGAAATCTGTACAAAGCATTGAACCAGACACTGTGAAAGGCATAAAGAAAAACACACGTGCTCTCTATCTCAGAGTCTTGGGGAAGCACTGGGCCCATCAGATAATTCTGTTGTGGGTCATAGTGTGACAAATGACAGAAGACATGTGCAGAGGAGGGCTGTGAAAGTACCAAGGAATGAGAGACCACTTCCAGTTTGATGGTCAGACAAAACTTTCTGGGAGGAACAAGCTTAATAAAGCGTGGGGAAAATCTGGGGAGCACAATGATGGGGCATAGTCCAGTCACAAATGAGCAAAGGGGCAGGAATTCATGGCCATACTCAGGGACCACAGATGTGTGATGGAGAGGAGACAGGAGAAGGGATTGGCCCCTCATTTTCAGTGTGATAAAAGCCGTAGTCAGGAGGTTGGACTTTATTCTGGGAAAATGGGCAACTGAGATAGCTCCTGGCATTGGAACAGGGGAAATGACATGCTCAGGTTAAAATTCAGTTAAGCCAAATATATTGAGTGGTCTGCAGTGAGCCCACACATTTTTGGTGCTGACCTTCATGTCCAGTGGTGGACAGAGGTGTAAACAGAGCATCAGTAAAATGTGAGCAGAAAGTAACAACATTACAGAGCAACTGTGAAAGTGGAAGTCACTCAATCGTCTCCGACTCTTTGCGACCCCTTGGACTGTAGTCCATGGAATTCTCCAGGCCAGAATACTGGAGTGGGTAGCCTTTCCCTTCTCCAGGGGATCTTCCCAACCCAAGGATTGAACCCAGGTCTCCTACTTTGCAGGCAGATTCTTCACCAGCTGAGCCACAAAGGAAGTCCAAGAAGATGGGTAGCCTGTCCCTTCTCCAGCGGATCTTCCCGACCCAGGAATTGAACTATGGTCTTCTGCATTGCAGGTGGATTCTTTACCAACTGAGCTATGAGGGAAGCCACAGAGCAACTATACCCAAATAAAAGTAAATAGATAAAATGCAGTGTTTCAAGCTAAAACAGACGGTGTACAAGAGGCTAGGGAGCCCAGAGAAGGTACTCTGGGGGCTAAGGGAGAGGTTGGTCCTCGATACAAGTCTTACAGACAGAGTAACATTTATTTGGAAAAGTAGAGAGGACAGCCTGGACTGTGGGAGCACAGAGAGCTGAGTCACAGGGCACCGGCAGACTCTGACTGTGTAGGGAAAGATGACAGCTCTAATTTACTAGCCTGCTGGACTGAGGGGAGAGAGGGGTGAGTGAGAACAGGGAAATGAAGGCTAGGGGTGGGACAGCCCTGTGGAAAACTTTCCAGAGTGGCCGGGAAGCCAGGAGAGCCTGGCGGTGGTCACATCCTGCAGCGGGGTTACACTGGGGAGGCACAGTCAGGCAGGAGTTCTAGACTCTGCACGTGACTCTCACGTACTGTAGGTGGTGTAAGTACAAACTGCTCGAAAAACTCATTAATACTCTCAGTTACTGCCTAACCTTGAACGTTCCAGGACTCCCAGGAACCTCTGATCTCCTGTCTCCTCACCGCATCCTCAGGGCTCCACTCCCACACCTTGGGCCATTCATCCCACTTCTCTTCTCTGCTCCTCCAGGACATTTCATTCTCCCATGAGTGTTAACCTTCAGCTCTGTTTGATTTTCTGCCCCCACACCAGATCTTACACACAGTTTTTTATCCTTTCTCTCTTCTGCAGACAGGGCTTGATGGTGTGAGAGCAAGTGGGCTACATTGTGATTGGGTGAGGTGGTGGGCAGGGGTAGTGGGGGCTCTGAACTTGAATATGTGGATAATTTGGGGCTAGTAGCAATAATTGAGATCTATGATGGTCAAAAAGAGCTAGAGATTGGCAGGAGAATGGAATCAAAGACATGGAAGTGAGATAACTTGTAGAAGTATATTCAGAGGCAGCAATTAGCCAAATATGAGATACAAGCAGAAACCGGTGGGATTTTAATACTGTTTTAAGTTTGGATCCACAGTATATGTAATAACACTGTGATATTATTCACCATGCCTGGGGAACACAGATGAACACACTGAAGAGATAAGAATACAAAATGATAAATTTGACTTCGTATGTGCTGAACCTAGGATATCCATGAGATATTCAGGTCATATTTAGCAAACCTAGAGTTTTAATTCAATGCAGTGTACCAGCACTCTCCAATGTTGTATGCTTAAAATGTCATTCAAGGACAAACCCCACTGGGAAATTACATACTCTGGCCCTTTTTTGGAGATTGATTATGCACTGATAAATCCTGCAGTAAGTGAACATATTTAATTTAACTTTATTTCCAATGCCCCTCTCATATTTTTTTTTCAGAATACCTATTAACATAATTAAAATTTTTTTTCAGGAACAGTGTTTTAAGAAATGCTCATTACAGCACTGAGGAGCTGTGATCAGAAGATTATTAAGATAGAAAGAACTTGGTAGAGGAGGAGGGTATGCTTATTTGCATGGAAGGGAGAGTTGAAGAATTATGAACTGATTAACTACTCAGAGTAGATAGAGAAAGGAGAGAAGAGATAGGAGCTTTATCAACATGTTTGACACTTCCATTGGTGTGTGGGAAATATAATTTAGAGAGATATCAAGTTGTGAGAGCAAAAGCATGGATTTCACTATCAATATGTGTATGACAAATGATCTAATTTCTAAGACTCTGTTTTCTTATCTGAAAAATAATGCTCACTTTTTTGAGTTGTATTGAGAAGTAAAATAGGTAATACATAAAGTACCTATCACTTAGGAAACACATAGGCCACTTCAGTAAACATTATTATTAACATTATTTTCATTTACATATTCTTGATGAGTAAGCAAAACTTTACTGATGAATCTGCTATATTATAAGCTGAGCATTGACAATTACACAGGAGGAATCTCGTTGGTTGGTATCAACACCCTAAGACAAGGGAGCACTCCCAGTTCAGACACGCCTGGGACAGGAGCAGCATGGAACAGGAATCGACTCTGCAGAAGCTCAACAGTGGAAGAGGACACTGCAGGAATTTCCTTAAGGCTCCCCTGACCTTGAGTTTTCATCAGTTTTTCATGAAGAGGTGCTGGAAGCTAATAACTGAACCTTAGCAAATCTCTCTCCTTAAAACATCTGAGCTAAAAACTCCCAGGGTGAATGTCTGTAGGGATCCACCTGGCATGAGGTGCTATCCTCTGACAACAGTCATTATCCAGTATCCTGAGATGCAGGCCAGGGGAGGGGCGGCGGGGAGAACACGCTCGGCTAATGAGCGATGTTTCTGTCTGAATCAGTCACCGTGTCCTGAGTGCAGGCCTTAGTCACGTTCAGTCTTGGTCAATTGAGCACAAAGGCCAGAAAAGAATCTAAATTTAGTCTAAAACTCTGCGAACCGCCATGGCAGATTAGCTTCTCTCTACCCCAGGACAAAAAAATGGGGCAACTCTTGTGGTTTTTATCCAGATCAGATCACTGCAAACCTCAAAGGGCTGGTGACCAGAATATATTATTCTGCGGTCTTTTCTCTAGGACTTCTGGGCTGCAGTCTCTCAGATCTCAGATTGGTCTGAGTTTGTTGTTGTTCAGACTAGCCATGGAAGGTGACTGGCCACTCTTCTTAATCAATAAGTCATTCCATAGTACGCGCGATGTGGATGGAGGAGATAAGTAAGAGGATGGCGAGTGACTCTTTGAGGAAACACTCCCAGCATTAGGGCTGTTCAGATCCTTGAGAAGCGGCAGTGGCAGGGCCACAACCACTGGTTTATGCACATGGATCCACAGGGCTGTTGTGGCAGGAGATGCTCATTAAGCTGTTCTCTAAGTGAAGACAGGGTAAAGTATAAGTGAAATTTCCCCTGGAACTTCAGAGGGTCTCTCCTTCTCTCTCTCAGGGAAGACTTGTAGCAGAAAATGGGCAGTTCATTATCTGATTTGTTCATATGAGAACATTAGCCTAAAAACCAGAAGACTAGGGCAAAATAAATATATATACAATAATGCTACTCAAAATATGGTATAAAGATGGGCAGCAGCAGCATCTGAATCCAGCATTCCCTAGAATGACATATTCTCAGGTCCTGTCCTAGGCATACAGAAAACTGTTTGTTCCGAAAAGTTTTCCAGATGCTTCTCCATATACGAAAGTTTAAGAACTGCCCTAGACCTATAGGAGAGGTGTGTAAAGTTTCCACTTCCATTCACTCACAACTAGCCCAGCTTGCTTGTTTTTCTACCCTTAGTTTCCAGTTCTCTTATCCTGATCATATCTGACTAAGTCATCCGATTACATATAAGAACTCAGTCTTGCAATTTTTATCATCAGTGTAAATCAGAATTCTGTTTTTGGAAAACAACTCTATAAGAGGCAATAAAAATGCTGGTTCTTAGCCCTGTGATTGGTTTGCAGTGGAGAGACTATAGCTACAACTTTTGAAACATTTCTGTTCATTCGCAAAATAACAATGATATAAAATAAAGGATGAAAAAAGGCAGAAGACACTTACATGGGCTGTAAGTTGCTCCTGGGAAGCTTTTACTTCAGCCTGTAATTTCTCAATGCACTGAAAAGGGGTAGGGTTTAGAAACAAAGTGTGTAACTCTTCCTTTTACATATTCAAAATGTTCCAGATGTAAATATGTACTGGTTCTCATATTTTACAAATGGCAGCATTATCTCAGCTAGATGTTTTGAATATCCTCATTAAATGGATCATCGCTCCCATCTCTTTCTCTCTTCCACTCCATGGAAGGACCCATCAACAAAGTATATGAATATAGTAAAAACTAGGTCATGATCAGGAAAAATAATGTTTGCTTGATGTACTGCAGATAATGTTAACCTACCTTATATCACATCACATATACATACATGTGGAACCCAATGAATTGGTCTCTGCCTTTGGAATATATGGATATGTTTTAATGTGAAGATATATATAGCTATATATAGATACAGATTACCCGTCTATCCATCCCTCTATCACAAAAGCAGATACAAAACAGCATGGGGTGAACAAGAGATACATTTACATAATCACACATATATAAATGTCCTGAGATTCAGAGATTGGTAACTTCTTATAAAGTAATTTATTAAAAGTCTATGAAAAATGTTTTGATCAACTTCTTTCACTACCCAGAAAGAAGCTATTGCTTGATTAAGTTCAATTGAAAACTAAGAAACATTTGTATAGTCAATATCACTTATAAAATAAATAGAATATTCACTTAATATGATTCAAAAGAATATATATCAAACTTAAAAATATCACCAAGAAAGTTTATTTTTGTATGTGAATATTCTATCAGAAAATACAGTTACATTGAGCAAATACAAAAACTGTGATTTACCATCTTGAACTTAAATATAAACTTCCAGCCCAGCCAGAAATAACTACAGGATTGTCAGCTCATATGTTTAGGTAACTTTTAAAATAAAGATTATTCTTCTTCTATGACATACCTGGTCTTTTGCAAGAACCATTTTTTTGTATGGTTCTCCTCTGTCTTCCCTACAGTCCAGAGCTTCTAGCTTTTTCTCCAGCCAGGAAACATGCTCAAGCAGCTTTGATTTTGTTCCTTCCGAGACTGCAAGCTGAAGAAATGTGCTTGTAAGGGTATGGAAGTACCATGACTTTTTTAAAGCTTCTTTTATTAAAGTCCAATTTACAAATGAATTGCCTTCCATCAATATCTATTAAATATGAAAATGGCTTTTGAAACATTCTCATAGATGACAAATGATTAGAAAAGAAAGATAAGGAAATATTTTTAATAATAAAGATCTTTCTGGGCAAGAGATGAGATCACACAGTTACAGCAGGCAGAGAGATGTCTAGTACAACAGTCTCAACACTCATCTTTGTTATGTTTCAACATGGTATTTTATTTGTACAGCTGAATCTGAAATCTGTATTGTGGTTTAGATAGGGTTCTTGAAACTTAACTCTTTGGAGGCTACCTGCTTCGTCACTCAGTCATGTCCAACGCTTTGTGACCCCATGGACTGTAGCCTTCCCACCAGGCTCCATGGGATTTTTCCAGGTAAGAATACTGAAGTGGGTTTCCATTGCCTACTCCAGGGGATCTTCCTGATCCAGGAATAGAACCCACATCTCCTGCATTGGCAGGTGGATTCTTTACCTCTGTGCCTGGGAAACCCCCCAAATACTAGCTAGTTATGCATGAATGCTCACTCAGTCATGTTCAACTCTTTGTGACCCCACAGGAGGCCACAGCTCTTTAGGAAGAGGAGGAATTCTGAGTCCCTCCCTTGAATTTTTTGTGCAGTTGTAAAGAATCTGCCTGCACTGCAGGAACAGTAGGAGACGCAGGTTCGATCCCTGGGGTGGGAAGGTCTCCTGGAGGAGGGCCTGGCAACCCACTCCAGTATTCTTGTCTGGAGAATCCCATGGACAGAGGAGCCTGGTAAGCTATAGTCCATGGGGTCACGAACAGTTGGACACAACTGAAGCAACTTAGCAGCAGCAGCAGTATATAAGAAGCTGAAGGGAAAAGCAGGAATTTCTAGTTAAAGTCAGATGATCAAGGGCTTTTCTTATTGTCATTTAGTCACTAAATCCTGTCCCAGTCTTTGTGACCCTATGGACTGTAGCCCGCCAGGCTGCTCTATCCATAGGATTTCCTAGGCAGGAATCTTGGAATGGGTTGCATTTCCTTCTCCAGGAGAGATCTATGCTAACCATAACCAAAAAATGTCTCAAGATGAGTGTTTTACTCTTTGTAGATTTCCCCTGAGGAGCGTGGTCCTTGGATAATCCCTAGTCTCTTATCTTCCCTGAAGAGTCCCTTGTGATTTTTCTCTCTAGCTCAGCAACAATTCCAGGGGAAGAGTCCCTGGAAAGGGACATATAACCTTGTATTCATTCCAAATCTCGGGCTCTGAGGCATGGCTTATCTCTTAAGTATCTCTTTCATATTATTCCAAGAATTATTGCAAAGCATACCATCTCATCTTGAAAAGGGCAACAAATATTTAGAGACATTTACCAAATGAAGAGGCATTGAGAGGTTAGTCTGCCGTGGAAATAAGTTGGGTACATCACGTATGCTGGTATCCATCCATCCATCCATGCACACAACCCTTCACTCAACAAGTATTTGTCTAGTTGACTCTCTATGCAGCCATTGTGTTATATGCAGGGATTAATGAAAGCACAACAGAGGAGTCAGAAAGTGAAAGTGGCTCAGTCATGTCCGACTCTTTGCGACCCCACGGACTGTACAGTCCATGGAATTCTCCAGGCCAGAATCCTGGAGTGGGTAGCCTTTCCCTTCTCCAGGGGATCTTCCCAACCCAGGGATCAAACCCAGGTCTCCCACATTGCAGGCAGATTCGTTACCAGCTGAGACACAAGGGAAGCCCGAAAGGGAGGGTCAGAGGGAGCACATATGCCGGGAACTGTTGTCTTTGCCTTTCAGCTCTCAGTGACCTGGGAGGCCTGAGGTACTCTGCATGAATACTAACACATCTAACTCTTGGGTGCATGATGGTTTGGAAATGTAATCTGATTTCTCTGAGCACCCTTCCATTTTATCATAGTAGAGTGTAATGGTTGAGGACACAGACTCTGAGACTTTGGGTAAAAGTCTCAGTTTGCTACTTGCTATCTTTGTGATTTGGACAAGTTGCTCAGACTATCTGGGCTTGACTTTCCCACCTATAAATAGGAAAGAGAATACAAAGAATAGTACTTATCTCGTGCATTTGTTTTGAGATTTATACAAGAGAAACACTTAGAACAATGCCTAGAATAGATCAAACACTCAGTAGTTCCTATTATTATTGCTTCTACATCCTCTCGACTGCAGTAAGCATTCACATATGTTTTATCCAAATATTCATTATTTATCAAGTTATAAAATAAAGTGTCTGAAGATGTCACAGCCTGGATGAGCTGGTTACCCTAAACTCAAATTTATGTTTGGTTTGCTCACTTCCTGTAACCACTCTAGTCTTCAGGGAAAAGTCTTCTCTAAATCTGATGTACTTTTTTTAATCTCAAATATATTCTTTCTCAGTCTGTCCCATCTTGTTCCCATATCCTGAATAATTGATCCAGTCACCATTTGCTTATCTTTTAAATCTATCTCCTATTGTTTTTAGGTCTTTATTCATTTGCTCAACAGATATTCACGTAGTCACTCATTGCTAAAAAAATATGTTGGATCTTTATTATATGTAAGCTTTGGTGGTAAAAAATAAAGGTGATATTGTTTGTATTTTCACAATTTACTCAGAAAAGCAGACAATTTAAAAGCTATTCCATAATGTGAACGTATATAGATGAATAATAATAATATTAATAATAATAATAATATTAATACTTACCGGCTACTTAGTACATATCAGATATTCTGAGAACCTTTTGTTTTCATATTTATTTCAGTTCAGCTTCATACTCATTTTACAGCTAAGGAAATTCGATAAGGTTGTATAACTTGTCTAAGAACATAGATAGTAAATATTGGAACCCAAGTGTTCTGTAGTGGACATTAGGTGTGACTCCCTAAGCCCAAGTCTGACCCCAAAAATGGGGCCTGATAATCATGACAATCCCATTCTCTTTCCTTCCATCCATTTTCCTCCCATTGGTTTAGGAATCAAGGCCTAAACCAATCAGATCCTGGCTTTTCTCTGGCAACAGTTAATGTGTAGGAAATATGACCTAGTTTGCACCACCCACGCTGGGCCAGGAGGAACTTTGATGATTTGGAGAAGCACTTTCTCTTATCCACAGACATGAATGCTACCATGACCATCCTACACACATCCGGGAAACCGGTTATATACCAAAGCCACTCTCTGAATGGAAGTGTGGACAACAGAACAAACCTGGCTCATGTTGACACTACTGAAATGTTTTTTCAACTAATTTTGAAGCATCTCCGACCTTGGGACTTACTCTTAGTGAGTTTATAAGTTTCCTTTTTGATTAGACATTGAGTTTTCTCTTATTTGCTACCATAAGCATTCTGCTGATAAATTGTCTGATTCCAAAATTGCATAATCATAACCATAAGTGAGTAAGGTCTATGGAAAAATAGCAACTAACATTTGTTTGGTAGCTACAGCATACCACACATTTTGTTTATTTTTTGTTGTTGTTGTGACTATTTTAAATATTGGAAGTTAGGTGCTTTCAGGGGCTTTCCCAGAGCTAATAAGAACAGGTTGGATTGGGATCTGTTTCCCACTCTGGGTTCTATAGTATATCCAAACCCTAACTCTGAGACTGCCTGCAAAGATGAGATCTATGATTTTCCCCCGATCAGGTGGGTTTCAGCACTTTTTCTCTGTGTGTTCACTTATTTACCTGAAGGAAATTTATTTTCCTTTTTCCTAAGACTTGAGAAAACTCTGTCCTGCCATCTCAGCCCCTTTTTATATACACACCAACCCCATCTCTTTGCTCTCCTCTTATAATAGGTTTCTGTCTGAATATCCCTGTGGCTCATTTAGCTCAGATTCAGCTTATCTCTAAGAAATCTTGACATGGAATCACAATATCTATATTTTAGGCCTGACCCCACAACCCTCTGATGTTATGACCTATGAGCCTATAATAAAATTTTACTATGGCACTTTGCTATGTTTTTACAAGGTAGTTCTCCAGTCATATGTATTCTAACTAGGTTATAAATTTCCCAGAAGGATGAATGGGGAGAATTCTGTCAAAATTTATAACAAAATTCAGTCAAATTGGCCAGAAATAATATTTGCTAAGAACATTCCATTTATTAACTTTTTAAATGATGTTTTCATTCTCATATGTTTCATAATCTCACAAAAGCAGGATAAAGGGATCTTATTATCTCTGCCTCATGTGGATACATTGAGGCAAGAACTAATGTTGGATTGCATTATATAATGATGAAACTGTTTATTAGCATAAGAATACTGATATTCCCCCAGCCCTTTTGAAAATGACCTACCAGATAAGACTGATAATCTAAAAGGAAAGAACAGAAAAAATGAAAGAAAATAAAATGAAATAAGATAATTGAATATACTCTATTGCTGAGTTGCAAGATAATAGCTACCATTTTGAATTCACTCCGTTGTTTTGATTGGAGTTGTGGAACTTTTCAAAATTTAATTTTCAATTCAGGAAGCTCTTAGGAATGCTGCTTGAATTCAAATTCAAATGATAGGATGGAAAATAAGGTATCAAAGAAAGTAAGAGGAAACCTAAGTTAGTAGCTGCAAGATATCCCAATTGAATTTAAAAACTCTAGGGGCCTTGGGCACTACTTCCTTTTTATTGCTTTTGTTTTTTCTTTTTTCATAGGAACTGCTTAGTTTTATAGTTACTTGTTTGAAAGAGAATAAAGATAAAAGCTCAGTCCAACTTAGTATCAGATATCTGCTTATAAAAAGAGAGTAGGAATGCATTATTCTCTAAATAATCAATTTCTATATTTCCTAACCAGCTATCTGTGCTGGAACATGTGGTTCACATGATGTTGGGAAACTAATATTCTTCCTTTGATTTTTGAAGAGTCGGTCCCTTCTCTCCTGCCTGATTCTAACAAATTTAGGGGGAGGAGATGATTTTAAAAGCATGAACAACA